TTCCCAGTCTCATTCAAAAATGTTTTGAGCCAATGTTTAATTTTCTCACTTTGTTATTGCTTCGCCCTGACGACAGCCGAGGCCAGAGGCATAATGTGTTTTGGGTTGTCTGGCCGTTGTCAATCTCATTCTTGTGAACGCGATGGATATAAACAGCAACTTAATTAGTTGGGGGAAGCAAACGACCACAAGGCAGTTTTTCAAGTTCAATTGTATATAGTCAGGCTGTGGAACTGCTGCAAACTATGCAAGACTCTTATTACATCTTTGACAAGAGCTCAAAATGTTATTTAAAATGTAGTAATCAGGTGTAAACCAGCATTTCCTGGCTCATTTTCTGCACAGCAGATATTAAGTCAACGAGGATGGATTTGCTCAAAGCCTTAACATCCAGCAGTCTGTTTTCATTGGAAGCTACAGTAGGAAGCATAACTGCAGACAGATAGCATCTCTGATGTTGTGGAGCTCCCAACTCATAGAGTGCCAACCAGTGGCAGCATGGCCGCACCCTGCGCTTCCTTGAGAAAACAAACACATCCTTTTTGTTCCAATTCCAGAGAATTCATCACCATATGTTTTCTTTGGAGAGTATATTTTGGGATCTTAGAAGTTATGTGGTTGGTATTTGTTGTTGTTAATTTAACACCGCCCACAGTAAGTAGGAGCAATGACAGTAAGGTGTGTTGATGATCTTTAACATTTTGATTACGTAGCTATTGGAACATTGTCAACTGAAGTCAAATGGCTAAGTCTTTGTTTTTTCTTTTCAGTAAAAACCTGCTAATGATGCAGTCTTTTCTCTGTGGTTTAATCTATCAACATGCTGTGCCTGATCACAATTCAAAGACCAAACCAGAAAGAGTGTGGACAGCATAGGAGAACGTAGCTCACTGATAAACCCATTCACACATACCAGACACTTCAACACACACGCACGCAGATTCCATCTACCATCACCACCATCATGTCAGACGACACTGCTAGATGACCTTTGGGCACGCTGATCCTTTATATAAAAGGTATTTGTGTCGCTCTGTGGTGTTTGACAGAGTACCAGCAGGATTAAATCAGCCTTGCAGAGAAAATACTTTGATCAGCCCTCTCCGCTCTTCTCCAAAACGTCATGCTGACTTACACATCCCCAGATGAAATATCTCTTTGTTTCACTTCCACCTGCCCACTGGTCCAAGGCGGTGTAATAATTAGTGGGCAAAGGACTAAGGTGATGCAGCTTATCTCTGCTGACGGAGAAGGGTTGAGTGTTGGTGCTTTTTCATTCCTTTTGGTGTCTCATTGTTAGTGACCCAGAAAAAAGGTGGTGTGACTGGAAGTACATTTCTCTCCAGCACTCCCAACTCCGCAAAACTTCACTGCTTGAATTTTATACCGTAGTAAGTCAGGACTGGGAGTCCAAAACCTTGAGTCTGTGTACAATTTGCACTGACCTACAGGTACAGTATTAACGTAGAGTTCCAAGGTAACTTCAATCAATCAATCAATCAATCAATCACTGTTTATTTATAAAGCCCAATATCACAAATGTTACATTAGTCTCAGTGGACTTCACAGTTTGTACAGAATATCAGTATGACAATACAACACCCTCTGTCCTTGGACCCTCACATCGTACAAGGAAAAACTTCCAAAAAAGGAAAAACCCCAGAGTTTAAAGGGGAACATGGAAGAAACCTCAGGGAGAGCAACAGAGGAGGGATCCCTCTCCCAGGACGGACAGACGTGCAATAGATGCCGTGTGTAAATCGAAAAGATAATACATTTACATCATAGGTAGACCAAATGTTTGGAAATGCATGTGTCTATCATAAGAAGATGAATCCACGAGGATGTCAACAATCCTGTGGGAGCCATCAGGGAAGTAGTATGATGAGAGTCGGGCAGGACCACAGTGACAGGTTCAGCCACGACTTGAAGTCCAGGACTCAAATACAGGTATCAGGATAGAGGATCCAGGACACAGGACCGCAGCAACAGGATCAGCCAGGACTCAGGATCCCGGTGTAGATAGAAACCAAAAATAAATTTGGGGGAAGCTGGGTTATTCGGAACATGAGAGTACACAGGTACAGACAGACAGAAGGAAGAAGTAAGGTCCCCCCCGACAAACTAAGCCTATAGCAGCAAAACTAGGGGCTGAATCTAATCAGCCCTAACTATAAACTTTATCAAAATGGAAGGTCTTAAGCACAGTCTTAAAAACGGATAGGGTGTCTGCCGCCCGAACACAAACTTCCTAGTAGGACAGTAGGGTATAATGAGTTCTTTAAGGTAAGATGGCGCCTGCCCATTAAGGGCTTTGTAGGCGAGAATAAGAATTTTAAATGATATCCTGTGTTCTATAGGGAGCCAGTGTAAGGCAGCCAGAACAGGAGTAATGTGGTCCCTTTTCCTAACTCTGGTTAGTACACGAGCTGCAGCATTTTGAATCAGCTGAAGCGACTTAACTGACTTCTTGGTAAACCCTGATAATAAAGAGTTACAATAATCCAGCCTTGAAGTAACAAATTCATGGACTAGTTTCTCTGCATCATTTTGATGCAAGATATGCCTGATTTTTGCAATGTTACGTAGATGAAAGAAGGCGGTCCTTGGAATTGATTTTATGTGGGCGTTAAAGGATAAATCCTGATCAAATATAACACCAAGATTCCTTACAGTCTCACTGGAGGCCAAATTAATGCCATCCATAATTAGTATATATTTAGATAGTTGGTTTCGTAGAGTCTTTGGGCCGAGTACAATAACTTTAAAAAAAAAAAATTGAAGGTCATCCACGTTTTTAAGTCCTTGAGGCAGTCTTGAATTGTATTTAGATGATTGGTTTCATCAGGCTTGATGGATAAATATAATTGAGTATCATCCGCATAACAATGGAAATGTACAGAATGATTCCTTATAATATTGCCTAACGGAAGCATATAAAATGTGAACAAAATAGGTCCAAGCACTGAGCCCTGTGGCACTCCATGGCTAACTTTGGTAATCAGCTCGCCGGTGATTTGCAGCTGGCGCGGTTGACCGCGCATACGTGGTGAACTGCGTGTTAGAAAATATGAGATTTCAGACTGGCTTACCTGTATGGCAATAAAGTGGCAAATGCCGGATGGATGATAGGCTAACCTTTTTTTAAACTTTTAAAAAATGTCAATGCCATGCAATCTACCCACACTACCTTTGACGTATTGGGCACCACTGGTTTAGAGGGAAGAATCATTGAATTCAGTTGTTCAAGGTTTATGGCTGAAAAGCATTCTAATTTACTATCTAGTGTAATATTAGAACTTACATTTCTGGGAGCTGTTGATAACACTATACTGGTCAAAGGCAAGAGGTCATTGATTTTGTTTCTAAGAGTAACAATTTTATCGTTAAAAAAGCACATAAAATCATTGCTACTGAGTGCTATGGGAATAGAAAGCTCAATCAAGCTATGGCTCTCTGTCAGCCTGGCTACAGTGCTGAAAATAAATCTTGCATTATTCTTATTCTCATCTACTAATGAAGAGTAGTAAGCTGCTCTAGCTTTAAAAAAGCCTTGCAGAGAGTCATTACTGTCTTTTGCTATCTTCTACAAGCTTTCAGTCCAGAGAATTCCACTAAGTTCTCAAGTCTGCCTGCATCATAATGATAAGGCAAAGTGAAGATGGAGGTGATCTTGTCAAGTGTGGCCAAAAATTCAAATTTCCTGAGCAACCGGTTGAGTTGATTGTGTGATGTTGTTGAAGTTTAAGACACTGGACTCTTAAGGCTCAGCTCTAAAAATGCATTATCCAGTAATCCAGCTTTTTATTTTAATAACCTGACATATGTTTTAAATATGTATATGATAGTCTGCATTTAATCGGTAATATAAAAATGACCCTCTGTCATATCATAGTTTCATATCATGTACTTTTGTCAGCAGAATTAACTCTTCAAAAGACTTTTTCTTTTTATTCCTAGAGGGAGCTGGGAACAATTTAAGTAGAGCGGAAGCAGAGTGAACCAACAGCACCGTGAATAAAGAGTTGGCTTGCAAATATATGAACATGTTCTAATGATTGTTCTTGGGAACCTTCTCACTGTTGGCACTTGCCTGTACTGAGCAACCAACACCCACAAAGCTCTAGAGAGCTGTAGATCAGAGCAGGAGAGTGGGTGTCATCAGATCTGTGCACCGGAACAACAACAACACCGACAACCTAGAAATGTTCCTGACCCAAAGTACATTTTGGTTGTTTCATAAATTAATCTGCTGTATAACTACAAGGGATATTTGCTAACGTAAACCCTCGGTTGGGTAAACACATTATTGACAATCCTCGCTTAAAAGTATTGTTGAGTAAAAACCCTATTGTTTTCGTTCCGCATTTAATATCCCTGACCACTTCTGTAGTATCATTCATCCATTTGTTAGCAAATAGCCAAACCCTTTCCAAATCTGTTTAACCTTTAAACAAGCCCTTCGGTTAAGCCATGCTGACTCCTTCCATGTCTCACACTTGTGAATGTATTAATCTGTGTTTTCCGATAGGGCAAAGCTCATTATTTTCAGTTTGTATAGAAAACATTCAATCGGTAATCTGTTTATTTTGAGTATTAAAGAAAGACATTTTAAAACCACTCTTTGTTATGCATGTTGTACTTTTGCATTAATTAGAAGGTCTCGCATATTTTTCTTGGATACATTTTTAATCTCTACTTTTGTAGTAGAAAGAGGGAGATAGAGAGGAGGACATTTCCTGATTATCCGCGGGTTTGGGAGTCGAACCCGCTTACTTGGCAGCGGACACCTCTTATGCATACAACATTTGATTTTGGGGGAAAATGCCATTTGTAGTGGTCATTGTCGTCTTGCAGCAGGAAATACGGCAGCGATTTGGTCCAGAGGATGTCAAATCTGTAAAAATGTGTTAATGAATAACCTGTTAACAATGACCCAAAGAGTATAACCTGTCGACACATTTTACAAAACTAAACAACATCATACTGTTTCTCCACAGGTACGCCATCATGTGTGGAATAATGGCAGAATATGACACAGTGCAGAACAAAATAAAGAACGGATACATCTTTAAGGTAAGTTCAATTTATATGTTGTGTCTGGAAGTGTTCTGAAACTAAATGAAATGCTTGCACTATTATTTGTATACTTTTTTCATATACAGTGTATGTTGTATATAGTTTCTCCTATGTAGCAGGGAATGGCTTCGCATATAACTTAAGCCTGTAAGCCACTCCTACAGCCTTTGGGTTGCATAAGCTGGAGTGTGGAGCAACAGCACGTAGCATTTTATCTTCTGTCAGCAGCCTTCACAAACACTGTGTACCTGCAAAGCAGGTGAAAGAGAAAGCCATAGAAGAGGAGAGGGAAGATATGAAAGAGGGGAGAAAAAAAAGCCTGAATCACAGAGAAGAAGAATGGAAAAGAACGAGGGTGGGTGTGTGCAAGCCGGGAGTGTGTGGTCGCTCTGCGAGATCGCGTGTGTGAGAGGTGTTTGTGAAATACTTGTGGGTTGGTGAAGCAGGACAGATCAGGCCGGAACAGAAGGCAGTGGAAATAGCAGCCGTGTCATGAATCAACAGTGAAAATGTTCTGTCTGTCTGTGTGCCTCCCCTCCCAGGATCATCTGGATAAAGCCATTGAGCTGAAGCCACAAGACCCCTTGTCCTACTACCTGCTGGGCCGCTGGTGCTACGCTGTATGTGACCCCCCCACCCCGACACACGCATATCTTTCACATCACTTCTCACATACACAAACAGTGGATTTATGGAGGCTGTCATGTCTGCGTGCCACTCTCCTCCCTCTGCTAACCCACACATAATTTCCCCTCATTCTTTCCTTCTGTTTAGGTTTCCCTGAGGGTTGTTATTCTCTCGGGGATATTCATAGAAATCTGCACCAGCCATTGTTAGCTTGAAATCAAAATCTGATATCTTATATTCATTCTGCTTATGTGCTTTCAGTGTAGAAAGTTCGCCCATCAATAATTTAATCACCAACAGCATTTATCAAAGTATTTAAGTTAAATTATTTTTAAAGGCTGAAACTATATTAGATCATATCACAAAAAAACGTTGTTTTTGTTCATTTTTGGTATATTGCAAAATCACTATTTCTGACTGTAAGCATTTATTTATTTTTGTTTTAATTGGCATCCCATTAATAACAAGAAAAACCTAAATGTATCATAGGGTCTGAAAAAAGTACAAATTTTTACACCATTTTAAATTCACACAAAGGCAAAAAGGAAACTGTAAAATATTGAAATGATCACAGTAAAACTGCAAATCACAATGATAACAATGAAAGCAAGGAAACTATATCTAAATAGTCAGTCAAGCATTTGATACAGCTTAAAGATAACAGCAGTACCCTTAACAACAGCAGTATATCCTATTTTTGAAGAGGGCCTTTGTGCCTTCAGGTTTTTCTTTGATCTCTTTTTAAAAACATATGAACTTGTTATACAGTTATTGTTATGGCAAACCATGGCATATCTCCATTCCTCTGAACATGACTGTACACTACATTAGTTTCTGAAACAGGAAGTGAAAAACAACCAGTTATGGCGAATGGCGATTACTAATATATGAAAATTGTTGGTGAAATTGATGGTACAGGACATTCATGAGCTATTCATCATGAAACTCAGTACCAGTTTTTAAAGTAACTGCCAGAAAGGAAGTAAGATATTACAGGAATGGCTCTGATGAAGTTATATACAACTAATCTACACTGTTGAAGCCAGAGGAGTGAGGTACTGTGCAGATTTAGTGGAGCTATAACACCTGATATTTTCAGTTTATGGGCTGTCTCTGGTGCTCAACAATGATCTACTGTTTGTCACCAGCCAGCGGTTCTGTTTGAAAGGTCCTGTGATGACGTCAAAGCAACGCTACACCTTCAATTAGTAGGAGATTTAGTGCGAGGCAGGAACATTACATGTCTGACCCCGTCTTACTACTGGCCATTTATATTTTCTGTGAAATTTGTCAGAAGAAAACAATGGTGTATAGAAGAAGAATTGGATGAAACCCTCTTTATTTTTGCCATACATGTACACGCACACAGTACAGCACAGCGAAATTGGACCTTTTAATTGAACCCATCCTACCATCCCAGTTTACCTCTTGGGCCCTGGTCCTTGAGCAAGGCACCGGACACTAAAAAAAACACAAAGCCGACAACCTATTCAACAGTTGGGGTACATAGTCCCACAACGTTGCCCACTGTGTTCTGGACATTCAAGAGATTACTTGAACCAAGTGGAGAAAAAACCCCAAAAAGGTGTCCTGTTTACTGAATGTCAACCTTACTGCGATCAAAACTTTGCCGTTCCCCAGACATTTGTACAAATCTGGATCCGGGCTCCTGGCCAGGGTGTCCGTCTTCTGAGATAAAGTTCAAGTAGCATGATGGGAACTCGGCTCCACTGTCTCCTCCTCGTTAAGAAAGTCCATTGCCTCTCGAGGATCCGTGAACTTCATTATTTTCCTCCTCCATGTAAAGCACATCTCAGACGTATACGCGAGGGTAAAACGTACATCCAGATTGTGCAGCCGGCTTCTTACATCAGTAAACTATCTCTTCTTCTCTGCCGTCTCTTTAGTCATGTCGGGGGGGAAATGACAACTTGCAGCTTCCCTAGATTATACCCTCCTTGTTTCTATATTTCTCCCTTGCGGTGGCCAACACCCAATCCTGCTCGAGAAACCTAATGATGATTGGCCTGGGTGGCCGGCTTTCTTCAGGCATTGGTATCGGGGCTCGGTGCACCTGCTGTGTTCCGTCCATTTCAATTGTTTCGATAGTTTTTTCTGCCAATATACTGCTCTGTACTCCAGTGCTAATGCACCAACACATTGTTTGCCGACAGCCTATAAAACATTTTTGAAATGGACTGTCAGTGTTCATCACATTTGGGCTATACACACACACACAATGGGGTTTTACATTGATTGAATTCATAACATTTCAATGTCATGGCAGGTTTTGCACTCATGATGCATAGACAGTACAACTGCTTGCAAACATGCTCATAGACTCAAGAAGCGATTGGATTAGCCACTCGAACAGGCACTTGACTACTTTAAATTAACTTCCGTGTCAACGAAGTTCATTGTAGAATTTTCCCTTCATGTAATTGAAAAGTTGTAATTTTATAATGAAAGGCTAATGAAGTTATTAAGAAATGTAATCAAGGGAAGTGTGTTTGTAGTGTCTTAATAGTTAATTAAACATCACCTGAAAATCTTGTTCTGGCTCCATTCGTTTTTAAGTGCTGTACTGGTGTTCTGTTCGTTGGGATCACCGTCACAGCCCTGCTGGGTGCGGTGACAGGTGTATCAGAACAGCCAACCCCACCCAGCAAGTGGAACAGGTAGAGCATTCAATTTGACATTGTGATTTAAAAGAACACACTTTTCAGATCAACTAAAGAAAAAGGGTTTGTTTTTTCAACGCTAACCTGTAACCATGTAACCAACCAGGTCAGAAACTCCTCAATGTGCATCAACCTGATATTTTCATTATTACAATCTTGATCTTTGAGTTTTATTGATTCAAAATCATATTTTGTTATCGCGTAATTGACTTTCAAAATGGCAGACACGGATTTCCTCATTTCTGTTCTCCTCTTAACATTTTAAACCATATAAGTATCCTTGTATGTTAAATATAATGATGGGATGATTAAGTTATGTTATGATGATTATATTACATGTTTGCAATACGAATATTGTACTGTGATTAAAAGTCTATAGAGTTCAATAGCTAAATAATAATATAACATATATATATATTGACTATATCCAATGTTGATTTGCACATTTGATATATAATACTATAGCGACAAAATAATCGCGATCGGATCATTTCCCCATATTTTTTACTTTTTTAACTAGAGAAAAGTATGACACTGCTATTTGGCATTGTATCAAGTTTCTCTGAATCTAATGTGCAGAATTGTATTTGAACTTGTGGTGTTGTCTTGCAGGTGGCTCAGTTGTCGTGGATTGAGAGGAAAGTTGCTGCTACGTTATTTGGAGACCCTCCAAGTGCCACAGTGGAAGATGCACTAAATAATTTTCTTAAGGTACAGTGACACATTCCCAACACTCTCCTCCTAACATACATTGTATTAGAAATACTACATATATATATATTGGTATATTGGTTAGCCGGCCGGGGCTTTAGGACAAGCTGTGTGTGCGTCATTCTAACTGACCAATGGTAATGTTTACATGGATGTATGAACTGCCCCTCGATTCTATTGGCTGTAACGGTTACAAAGAGATGTCAATCGCCCAATTTGACCTATGGGTTCCAGAGATACGGCCATACGTAATGCATGCAGGTCTGACTGCCAGCTGGCGCACCATTACGCATGTGGCCGAAAAAGGGTATAGAGGTCATGGTGCCAAAAATGTCAAAAACAGTTGTATTTGGATGGAATGAATATAGTGATATTTCAATTAAATAAAAGGAGTTTTACAGTGTGGTACCTGAGAAAGGTTGTTTTTTTAGGCAGAGATTAGAATTGAATTTGTTTTACTATGTTCAATCTGAATTTACTTTAAAGGGGACCTATCATGCAAAATGCACCTTTGTGCGTCTTTTATACATGAATATGTGTCCCCGGTGTGTCAGGGAACTCACCAAATGTCAGAAAACACAACACTCTCTCTTTTCCTCCATACCCAAATCTCTAAAAACGGGACTTTAACGGATCTGATACAGACTGATCCAGATTTGAAAATAGTCTTGACGTCAGTGACGAGGAGCTATATATAAAAAACTATAGTAATACGATATATATATATATATTAGGGCCGGGACTTTAACGCGTTAATTAAGATTAATTAATTACACAAAAATTAACGCGTTAAAAAAATTAACGCATTTTAATCGCACTTATTTTTGCACCGCGGAACGTTTCTCACTGGATGAGTTTCAGGGGTACCGATTATACTGGAGCACCAACTAACGTTCATTACTTCAGACAACAACAAACCACAGTGAACAATAGTCAAACGTGAACGAAGAAGCTGATGAGACCGCTTTGGTTGGCCCCGTGGATGGGACATTTTGTTTTAAAAAACGGACGGAGGGAAGAGTCGATAAGAGCACAGTTGTTTGCAAATTATGCAAAAAGGAATTCGCATATCACCGC